TTTGTACGGTACGGGCTACGTAGATAGTAGCGATGTAAAACTCGGGGGTTATATTCTTGCTAAAAATACCTTTAAAGTAAGATATCATTCCACCCCTCTTTCCATTTAAGATTTTGGGGGTGAGCCTCACCCCCGCTAGAAAGTTTCCATTCAAGGGGTGAAACTGGCAAAAAAATGTTTCGAATCCGACGTTTTTTAGTAAATGACCTGGGTTACTCGCGAACTCTACCAGAGAGTTATTTCTGACTCTTAATGAACTGTCGCCCAAAGACGACTCTGTTCTTTATTTACTATCTTACCCGCGATATGAAGTCGAGCGCTAGCCATATAGAGACAAACGCATTCCTTCGAGAAGCTACCAGAGAAAGCATCATAGATGACGAAATTCCAGAGTTTCTAGATGCTCGAGAATGTTCTAGTGCAGAGCTGGCTTTATATAAATAGCGCGAGTTTGTCGATAGAAGCTAAGTTTCAATTTAGGTGTTGTATAGAAAAGATAAATTGTAATAAATAATAATAAGAGGTATAATAGTGTCCAAGTATTAAATAAATTAATTAGTACCTACGTTATAAATAAACTGTTTTTAATAAATAAACTATTTTTAAATTAAAGAATCGTTACAGAACGTTCTTTTTTAACGGTGCTTGATGATCTGCAGCAACTTCCAAATCTTCTGTCTTTGTGGACCGTTATTAGTCGTTCTTTTTTGACGTCATAAGGTTTTATACACCAAGAATAATAAATCTTTAAGTCCATGTTCAACGCGTTGTCAATGACAAGTGACGGCGACTTTTTTATCACAAAAAATACAGCTCCGAACGATAATATTTTCAGAAATTGTTTTTAAAAATGGATTTAGAGCAAGGAAAAGAAGGGTGGAAAGGCTATTGTGTGTTTCACTTTTATTTAATACATAATATTTTTAATAAGTAATATTTAACAAATAATTAAAAGTTATGGACTTTTCACCATTTTTTATAGTATTTAAAAGTTAAACTCTTTTATTTTTGCGCTAATTATTTTAGGAAACTCGTGTTAAGATTTAAAAATGTAGTGTCAATGAGGTGGCGCCAATTTGCAACCGTGCTAATTCGAGACAAACATTTTATTAAACTCATCGTGTTAAGAATTTGTCGACATTAAGAGAAAGAAATTTAAAGTGACGCCTTCGAATGAAAAATCGTTTTCTAACCTAAGAAAAAAGTTGAGTTAAGAAGAAAGCTTTATTATTTTGCATTAGCATTAGGATTATTGCTACGTGCAATGTCACAGCTTAGAACTCTGACAGCCAATCAAACACTAATACATGATGTACCTCATCGAGGCATCCTGTCGCTCTATCAACTCGGGCCACGACAGCTTCTACATTTCACTTATTGGCACTTTTATCTACGTTGTGCTATGGGTGCTTCGCATCCAGTTTAAAATTGCTCTGGGTGCTTGCGCACCCCGAGCCCCGGGGATTCGGCGCCTATGATCATCGTTGTTTTTTTTTTTTCAAAACTATTTGTTGCCGAGGAACATTTTTATTTATAAAATATTCGAATAGATGAAATATTATTTCCTTTGCTTGACTACCTAAATGTTTCGACATTTTAACAGTTTAATGTGTGTATGGATTTGGACTGGACAGTGACTAAGAGAATTTTCCGTTGAATAATTCTAGATCACATAGTAAACATCTCTGTATAGGAATAGTTATTTTATTAAAGTTGATTTATTAGAATTAATTTATTAAAAGTCATTTATTAAAATTAATTTATTACAGTGTTTTAAAATTTGGTCCACTACAATTTTATAAAACTTACATATATTTCAATGTTTTTTTGTCTATTTTTGGTATTTTCTCTCATCAGTGAGAGCTTAATAATGATACATCTGTATTTTAAATTTTATTTTTATCCATGTAATTAAACCTTTTTGGTTTGTATGGAAAAAAGATCAATAAATAAATAAATAATTAGGTATCGCTATTCGAGTCCCAGTAAACTCCAAGGGCTTTTTTTAAATCACTATCGTTTATGTGATATTCAGTATGAATATTGCTGTAGTTTTCGTCTAATATTCGTTTATCGTTAACCACCCACTTCCTAAGATTAAATCCGTATTGAGCTAAAATTTAACACAGATCGTTTCTTAGACTTTGCGCTTCTTCGATGCTAGAAGCACCGCTGATTAAGTCATCGACATAAAAGTCACGTATTATGACTCGTGATGCGTTGGGATATTTTGTTTGATAATCTATAGCAGTTTGTTGTAGACACCGAATTGCTAAGAACGAGGCAGATGACGTACCGTAAGTCACGGTATTTAAAACATAATGCTGGATTGGCAGATGTTCGTTTTCGCGCCAAACTATTCTTTGTACATCTCGATGTTCACCTGTGATGAGTATCTGCCGATACATTTTTTCGATGTCTGCAATCATTACGTAGTTGTGTTGGCGAAACCTGGTTAAGATAGAAAATAGATCCTCCTGAACGTTTGGACCCACAAGAAGTTTATCGTTCAAAGAAATGCCGTTGCTCGATTTGCAAGATCCGTCAAAGACTACTCACAACTTTGTGGTGGTACTTGACTCGTTTAACACGCCATGATGAGGGAGATAAAAAGTTGTATTTAGGTCGTTGGTTTAATTTATTTTTGTCATATGACCTAGTGTTTCATATTCCCTCATAAACTCAACATATTTGTGTTTGAATTGAGTGTTTTAAGGAATCTGCGTTCAACTGAATTATGTCTTTTCACGGCGTTGGGTAAAGAATTGCCAAATTTTCCGACTGATTTGTTGATGGGTAACCTAACTAGGAAACGACCCATTTTATCACGCTTAGTAGTTTTAGTAAAATGAGATTCGCATTCTTCCTCTTCGGCACAATAGGCCTTAGACTGAGGTAAGTCTTCAATTTTCCAAAAACGTTTTACTAGATCCTCTAATGATGGATTAATTGCGAGATTACAAGCGGATGAAGTGTTAGGTAAAAAATTTAAAGGACCCGATCGCTTCCAAGTTCTTGTAAAGTAGTTATTTTAAACATTTTTTGGCTGATAAATTTTGCTAGTGCTTGGTATCTGTAATGACAAGAGTCATGAGAGTGTTTGGGTATACCACAAAAGATTACCAAATCGACAGATTCCGAAACACCAGACCTTTGCTTCTATCGAGAGGTAACTTCGAGAAACTGGTCAACTGAAACCGAACAGATATAATGCTGGACGACCTCGTCAAGCCAGAACTCCTGCTGCAGAGGAGGGAATACTTGGAATAGTTGAAAATAATCCCGGAATAAGTACCCGATGACTGACACGCCAAACTGGGGTTTTAAAAAGTACATCCAACAGAATAATTAGAAAACAACATTTATCCTTCCCTCCAAAGTGTCCAGGAATTGCTGCCTCCTGATTATGAGTCTTATTTGCATATTTTACAAGTCTTTCAAGAGTGCAGAGCGGTCGACCAGGTTTTTCACAGACAAAATTTGCTTTACAAGACGTGGTATAACAAATGCACATAACGAACATGTTTACGCAGATGAAAAACCACATGCCATTAAAGAAAAACCTTTTCAAAGAGAGTTTAAAATTAATGTATGGGTAGATTTTATTGAAACCTACTTGATTGGTCCATTTAGAATGCCAGATCGTTTTAACGGTGACAGATACTTGCATTTTCTACGTCAAGATTTGCCTCAACTGTTAGATGAAACACTCAATTTATGCCGTGACATGATTTTCATGCACGATAGTGCATCACCTCATTTTTCCCGCATTGTGATAGATTATTTAAATGAAAAATACCATTGAAGATCGACTGGCAGAGGTCGGGATGCACCTATTAAGTGGCTACATCGATCACCGGATTGTAATCCTTGTGATTATTTTATCTAGGGTCACTTGAAAACCAAAGTTTATGAAGTACCTATCGACAACATAAAATAATTATGGGGTAGGATTCAAAATGTTGTGAACTTTATGCGAAATTATCTAGGCATTTTGAGAATGGTACACTTCAATTTCTTGCGCCGAATTGAAATCTGCATGAACGAAGGAGGTGGCCATATTGAACATTTACTATAAAAACAGTTTCTCGTTCTCTTTATTTTTCAGTTGATACCTATGCCTATTGATGATTTTTTTATTGTAATAACGTTAAAATGGAGAGTGTTTGGGTTGCGGAAGTTATAACCGCCAACTTAGTTTTCTTGAAAAATTTAAGTCACTAACCATTAGTACATAAATTTTTTTATACTCAAATATGAGAGATACATGTGTTTTATAAGAGACAAAAATGCTACAAATGAATACAGATCTCCATAAAAAAATGAGGGAACAGGGGCGGCCCTCAAAAAATACGATGTTATTTATAGTAAGATTAGGGTGCTTTTTATTCTTTCATGTTGCTTCCAGTTGCTTACAAAAATTGATCGAAGCGTTTTTGTGTTATTAAACAAAATTGAAAATTTTCTTTCAACTTTAATGCTTCCTTACAGGCAAACGAGTCCCTTTGAGATGTAGGTAATTTTGGCTCTATAGGCTCATTTTGATCTCGCCAACATACAGTAGCTCTATATTTACGAAATTTTGGGACACCCTGTATCTAACTTTCGTATCCGGTTTGGGTAATCTCCTTTGATAATAAATTTATAATTTCGAATTTTTGTTGAAAAAAGATACAAATTTTTAAATAATATTATATTGAAAATTTAAAATTCCATAACAAACAACTAAAATAATTTCAATAAATAGTAAAAATTCGAACAATTTTACTTCCATTTCAATAAAACTTAACACAATTTTCTTTAACACAAAGAAAAATTATTATAAAAAAACAAAATTTGTACTTTAAAGTTTCCTAATACTAAATCATAACACAAGAGTAGATATAATTAACAACGAAACATCAACCGTTTACTTATTGGTCTATTTTTCTCTTTAAACATTCTCTTCTTTATTCTGTCTTGTTGACCTCGATGAAAAATGGCCGTTAATTTTTCTCTGTTTAAGTAAAGGCATTGGCGCAAGGAACTTGAATGTAATTAAGGCAGAATCCCCTATTGTCGACATCGTTTGGAGCTTCCATGCCATCAGCGTGGAAATACATATTAAACGGCCTGACGTTACCTAAAACATTAGAAGTATCTTAGTTAAATTTTATTAACACTTTTAGTAATTGTATAGGTGATTGAAAATTCAATAATATACCCTTATATACCTTCATATTCCCTTCTCCCTATTTAACTAATTACAAATATTCGCTCATAATAGGCTGCAGCTTTTTCTAATTAGTGGAGAGTTATTCACTTATTTCACATTCTTCGGTAATCAAGAAGTGTTTTTATTCTGTAGAAAATTTATAATTTTAAATCTTAAATATTAAATATTACTCACAATTTTTAAGTCTATTGAAGACACATAACATTAAAGTTACTTTTAAGTTCAGTTTTATCAAAATAAATATTTTTACAACTTATGAATGAAATCGAAGATATAGTTAGCGGATTGCTAAATGTTTTTATTGAAGATTCAAGTAATAGTAGTAGCAGTAACAAGATAGAAAATGATAATAACAATTAGTTCGTATTTAAGTAATCAAACTCCAATGCCGGAAGTAAACCCTAGTAGAAATAAATATCTCATCAGAAAATACTCTACCGTATATTGAAATAAACGAACTTAAAATAAAATTACTTATAGATACAGGTAGTTAGCTATCAATAATTAAACCTTTAATAATAGAAAAAATACTTCTTAAATTCCATTTAGAGAATAGATGAACAAATTAAAACGGCCATAGAAACACGAGACATTTCTTACTAAGAAACTATTAAAGCTTTTCCAGAATTTAATACTAATTAAAATACATCATTTTTACTATTTGATTTTCACGATTAATATGATGGTACCATAGGGATAAACGATAAACGATTTAAAAGATATGAATTTAAGTATAGATTTAACAAAGAATGGGTTAAGTATCAACAACGAGAAGATTCAAATTTATCACTATCTGTAGAAGCAAAATAAAAAATGCTAGTAAAATGCCAGTAAAATCTTTCGAAACTTCAATTATGAAATATATAATATTAATTCATTTTTAGATTTAAGTAATGAAAAAAACCAATTCTGGTCAAAAATTTAATCCAGAAAAACTCATTAGAACTAATCACATGAACGCAGAAGAAAAATCAGAAATTATTAAATTGTGTAGAGAATTTCCAGATATATTTACATTTACCTCTAAAGTTAAACATGAAATGAAAACTACAGATAAAGCTCCGATTTACACTAAGTCATATAGATATCCTTATATCTATAAACAAGAAGTACAGAGTCAAATAAATGAAATACGAGAGAAGGGCATCAAACGCCCTTTCCATTTACAGTGGTCATCCTCTATTTGGATTGTGAAACGTAAAGAAGATCAATTGGGTAGCAACAATTTAAATTAGTAAATGATTAGCGAAAGGTCAACGATAAAACAATCCCTGAACGATACCCAATACCAAATATTAATACAGTTCTCAATAAGTTAGGTAGAGCCCAATATTTCTCTACTATTGATCTTTGGGCCGGAATTCACGAAATCCAAATGGAAGAAAGTTCTATAGTTTAAACAGCTTTTAGCATTGACAATGGGCATTACGAATTTCTAATAATGCCATTTTTTAACGCACCTTCCACCTTTTAATGGGTCATGGATGAAATTGTTAAAGATATCCAAGGTATCTGTATGGTATATATGGACGATATCATAATTTTTGGCACCGGATTACAAGAGCATGTTCAAAATTTAAAACTAGTTTTCTCAAAATTGCGCGAAGTCCGTTTAAAAATACAAGTATACAATTAGATAAATCTGAATTGTAACCTCTGATGGGATTAAATCTAATCTAAGCGATACAAGGTTTCTCCCATACCAAAAACTCAAAAAGACATTATATCGTTTTTAGGATTACTCTGTTATTATCGGAAATTTATTAAAAAATTCGCTAAAATTATGAAACCAATGACGAAATGTTTTAAGAAAAATGAAAAAGAAGTTAATACGAAAGAATTTATTAACTGTATCAAAACTTGTAAGAATTTACTAATTTTAGAACCTGTCTTAGCCAACCCGGGCTTTAACAAAGATTTTGAATTAACTACAGATAGTTCTAATTATGCAATTAGTGCCGTACTTTCACAAGACGGTCACTCTTTATGTTTTTTTTTTGTTTACCTTAAACCCGGTAGAAGTAAACTATTCGACAATCGAAAAAGAACTCCTTGCAATAGTGTGGAGTTGCAAGTTGTTTAGACCGTATATGTATGGGCACACCTTTATAATCTTTTCAGACCAATGCAATGTCTTTTATCTCTAAAAGAGCCGAACTCCAAATTAGTGAGATGAAGACTCAAATTAAAAGAATTTGATTACGTCATAAAATATAAAAAAGGTACCTCAAATCAAGCGGCGGACTCCTTAAGCAGAAATCCTTGTAAAGAGGAAGTAAATGCAATGGAAACCGAATCAATACAAAATAACTCAGGAGATGCAGAAGATGCAATCGAACATTTTTTAGAAAACATAGATCAAATTCCACCAATTGATAGCTCATAGGGATATTTTAGAATCCTTACAATTAACAAATAACCATTCAAAGTTAATATTATATCTGACATACAGTTAAAAAAAACTAGACAAAATTAACCCACATGATTTTGGCGCAGACCTAGAAACTATCCACTCATCTGCCGAAAAGCCAATTTTCTTTGTGCCTATTGCAAAAAGAGAACTTAATGTATAGAAAAATCAATTATTCATTACTGGCCTAGACTTAGAATCATTCAAATGCAAAACTACTAAAATTTTCAATAATTGAGTTGTTGAATAAAGTTTTCATAAAAAGTTGTAAACATTGTTTTTAAAAAATGTTGTTTCTAAATTATTATATTTAATTTGCATAAAGAATACTTTAAAAAAATATAATTTTTACAGATCACATTACCTAGTTTTTGTACATCATTCCGTTTATATTATTGGTGATAAATATTACAATTCGTTTTTGATATAACTTCCAAATTCTATTGAAAAAAGAACTAACATTACTATAGTTTTCATCACGACGATTTTACAACGCATAATACATTAAATCCCATCTATTATACCAAGATTGATTACCTAGAGTTACAAACTTTGAATTTAGGACAAATTGTATAATGAATACTAACTTCTTACTGTTGTTGGCATGAAACTAACATCTGCGGCCAGAATACCGCCGCAAATTCGATCGACTGTAGCCGACGGTCCGGTGGCTGCTCTGCCGACATTCGAAGCCATGGGAATGATGAGATAATCGGATTGGCAAAAGTTGGAATTGCCGGTACTTCCGACCATAGCTGGCACTCTGTTATTCGAATTTCCTGACAACGTAAACGACTGATTGCGATTGGAGGCTGGAAACAAATTAAAAGATGTTAAAATTACAGAAAAAAGTGGCGATAAATGTAAAAAGTTTGATTACCACAGAACTTGGCTCATCGCCTCGTTAAAATGTAATCAAATACGTATTGTTTAACTAAACCGGTGGAAATAAGTTTTATCTTTTTTAAGAATAAAAGGTTATCAATTTCCTTAATTTTGTTCATTTCTTAACTAAGACTAAAACGCTAGGAATAGATACCACAATATTTATTTTTGTATTGAAAACAGAAAGTTATACTTTTCCGTATGAGATAGAAAGTTGCCCGCGCGACGAGTAGCTGAGTGCTACAATCTCATTATTTAAAGAAATAGATATATTTAAAAAATCGTGAATAATGAGTTAATAATAAAAGTTTAAAATAGATAATAATGAAAATAAAGTCAATCAATTTATTTAATTTTTAAAACATTTAACAATGTAATGACTACATACATACATACAAATTAAGTTGAAATTTATTTATATTAAATAGGTTTTACCTTTTCCATCTGATCTTCATAATCTTTCTAGTATACAGTATGTTTCAAATGAAACGAAAAAATTCATTGTAATGGAAGTAGTTGGTTTTTTCGATAAAATGCTCGGACAGATCAATTTTATTTACTAAAAGCGAAATTAAAAAAAAATCAAGTTTCCCCCACTTTCAATTTTTGGGCAGTGACGTCATTGACAATTTTTTAAATAGTAACCAATTTTTTTTTTAATTTTGATAGATCTTGCAATTTCCCACTCGGAAACATAATATTTGTAATATCTTACATAACAATTTTTTTGAATCATCTAAAGAGCAGACACATAAATTTTATTTTATTTTAAGAACACAATAAATGAATGAAAGATAATTATTTGTAATTATTTGAACAAGGATAATTTCCTGATCGTAGTAGAATTTCATATAAATAAAAAGTTCCTTGGTTTTTCGGACAAATTGTTTTAATTTTTTTATAATTTAACCACTACATCATTGGCGTATCTAGCCTATTTTCTCCGGGGGGGGGGCTTAAGTCCCTGAAAAGAATGAGGTTCAGTAACCCGAAAAATTTCAGCCACTAACAGTTTCTTAAATTTTTTTGCTCCAAAACGCCCACTAACAAAAAATCTGCTAGTTTGTTCTCGTCAGTAATAAAAAAATAAAACGAAAGAAGTCCAATTTTATTTAAAAAATTAAACTAGGCACTAACAAAAACAATCATAAACCTATACAAACAGTCTAGTGATATTAGGACTAACGACTAAATTCGAATTTGCGATTTTTCTGCTTGACAGACTGTTTACTCATTGTTTCACTTTCTATGTAAATCAACGATAAATTAGAAAATCGATTCTGTGACGTTGCGACTTCGTAACTAATTTTTAATTCTTCGCATTGTCGAAAAAGATCTTTCCTATGTCGCAGAACTGATTGGCATTGTCAATGCTACTTTTTTTCCCTGGGCTCATCTGACTATGTATCTCCGAATAACACTGAAGCCTATTGGCTTATTGTGTTTTACCCCATGTTAGTTTATAGCACCTACTCTGTCACCTTTGTACCTTGTACAAGTTTGTACAGATCCTTGGGTGAGCGGGTTCTATACGTTGTTGGATCAACCTGGGGTTGTCCAAAAAGAGCCTGTCTTTTGCGATCTAGAGTTTCGCGATCGCACAGTATGTGTTTGGCCGTTTCTGCCAATTTTGTTCAAGTGTCCCTTTACTGGGGCGTGACCAGTCATGAACCCCGTTATTACTTTCAACTGGTTCCTATTTATTGAGAGTAGTTCCCCAGTTCTTTTGGGACATGGTCTGCCTATGAAGGCTTTTCCATGTGCCTGTTTTGAAATGTTTCCCCAATAGTTCATATGTTGTTCCCGAATCCAATCGTGCTACTTGCAATAATTTATATACATTTGAAAAAGTCTCTTTATTAAAATTGTTTGTATTTTAATCAAACTCCACTCAGAAAACTCAGATGTAAGAGAGCTTTTTGCTACTAGCATTCCCGCCTTCAAGACATCTTTATTTATGACAAATGCCTCTGAGTAATGACGCAATAAATAAATCACTTTCTTCAAAATTTAATTTAAAGAATTTGTCGACAGATAATGCAAACTATTGACCCTCTGGTGAAAAACGAATATCTATATGGTTAATTATGAGCAATAGCAAGTTCATCTTCGCTGACGCCAATCGTTGACAAAATAGCAAAACCTTTCAGAAATTTGGATTCTGTTTTTTTTTTTTTCTTTTTTTTTTTCGTTTTTTTTTTTCGTTTTTTTTTTTTCGTTGAGATAATCGCAGTAATTCTAGACTGATTTCTTGCTTGTTTGCCAATGTTTTAATTTCTTCCCATAAAGATAAGAATTATTACTCGTTTCGTTTTTGTTCCAATGATGAAATTGTCCCATTTATAACCCCACTAGATTTGGCTAATATAATAAAGAATAAACATATTATTAATAAATGTTTCTTTAAATATATTGGATAAAAGTCCCAACTGCTTCGATTTCAAGTTTCAAAGCTTCAATTAAGACTGAAAAATTATTTTTAACTGCTTCACAATTGGCACTTCTGCAGTTCCACCTAATATCTGACAATCGCGTTGTTTGCGTATCGGTAAAAGTTTTATGCTTTGATGGCTGCTAAAAATGTACGTAGAGTGCTTCAAGTGTATTAAAAAATTATCTTACTACATGTGTCAGTTTTTGCTAGATTAAGCTTATGTGCAATATAATGAATGTAAATAGCTGTTGGATATCTTTGTTTGATTTTGCCTGTAACCCACCTTTTGTGCCTAACATTACACTGGCTCCATCATAGGCCTGAGCAACAATAGGCAACTTACCCAAACCAATTTCTTCTAAATGTGTTATGAAAAGTTGACTTAAGCTTTCTGCAGTGCGTTGCTGGGAACAATCTGTGAATTTTAAAATAATTCACATATTTCTTTGAAATTTACGTTCGTTTGTAGATTGGACGTCATCTATACAATAAATCATGAACAATTTGTCAATTATTAGTTATCTTCTTTTTTTTAACTTAATTATGTGTAACAACTACAGATGGCGCTGAAAGATGGGTAAACTTTTACATCGACGGCGCCATTGTATAAAGAACTAATAGTAGTCTCACCTTATGGAAGTTTCATTGGAGCGAAATGGATACTACCAATAGATGGCGCCTAGTGGATTTGGTTAAGTCGATAATCGCTTGCAGTCGCTTGTTTTGAAGTGGGCGGGTTAAGAGTCCAGCTGAAATTTTTGTGAATGACGGAGACCGATCGATGGGTTTCTATTTTTAGCTCTTGGATGAAATTTTATTCACTCGTGATTCATTGTTTGGACTATTTTCTATCTAATGTTTGTTATTGTGCGTTATTGCGTTTACGGGTAGTAAATATTGTGAATGAGTTGTGTTTATGTTTTATTACTGAATTATTTTACTGTTAATCAAGGACGAATTCCCAACAAGAGTACCTACATGATTTATATAAAAAAATTAAAATTATAGTTTAAATTAGTTTTTGGAAAGTGTCAAAAATGTTTACCGAATTCAGTAAAATGATACTGAAAAATAAAAATATTAAAGCCATTAATAATTTTTGAATTTTCAACTTTAACACCCTGCATTTCGAAAACGGGTATTTTTTTTTCAAAGCATATTTTATTTAATAGTTTTATTTTTAATCAAATAATCTTCAGTTGTACTATGTCCAATTCTTAATGATATATATTATGATATAAATTAGTTAACTATTAATTAATGTTTTAAAATTATAATTAAAAATTTGTGTATTTATAACTGTTTTGAAATTAATAAAATAGAAAATATGCTTTTGTTTTTCTTTTCCTTTACAGGTTTTATATGAATTAATTTAAAATAAATTATATAATATTAATAATAGCAATAATAATACATTTCTTAAGTGTTGAGAAAAATTGTATTTTTAATTAAAATACATATACCTATAGGTAGGTAGGTAAGGTACCTACCTAAGTAGTTAGCATAAGTAATTATAAACAACAGGTTATTTCTTTAATCTGGTGCGTAACAATGTTATTAAAAAACCATTAAGATGGTTGGTAAATAATATAAATGAATTCTTAATATTGAAGTAAACACAATGGGTTCTATAAGGATTATTGGTTGGGGTTCGGCTCTGGGGGATAGGGCATTTATGATCGAAAAATTGAAACTAAACTTGGTATATGGATGTATTATCCCATAAAAATAAGAATCCCTTTAAAAAAATTCACCCCTTTCCACCCCTATCTGATATGGTGAGGGTGGCATTCCCAAAAAATTAAGTTAGAACTTTTTAAATAAAACAGTTGAAGTCTACGATTTTTTATACATAAAAACCCAAAATTACAATTTTTTTGAAAAAAATTTTCCAAATTTAGAAAAAACTTCGACTTTAATCTTCATAGTTCGGATGTGGGGGCTGGCATTTAGAAATAGTTACAGACGACATGAAAATCTTATGTTTGATATATTTATAATATAAATGATTTGCAACATTTTTGTACAAAAATCTTACCACCACCATCCCCTAGAAGGAAATGGAGAGGGTGGCATCCCCAAAAAATCAAGTTAGAACTTTTTAAAAAACAATTAAAATCTACGATTTTTTATACATACAAACTCAAAATTTCAATTTTTTAGCAATACGGGAGAAGCAGAAGTGACATTTTTACAAATGAAATTAATTTCAACAAATTTATTTGAGATCATGTATAAGATTATTCATTATTAAAGATACCTTTTATAACCACTAGTGCATATTCAAAAAAAGCTTTAAATAAAAGTTTGTGAATATGACTGACTTTGTTTAAATATAACATAAAAACACGTATTCAGATTTCACGGAATACAACACAAAACACAAATAAACTTTTTTAAATAGGATACCCTCTATATGTTATTAAATTTCTGGGATATATTTTTTTCAAATTTCACAAATGTATATTATTGATAACTCTATCTTATACCGTCTGTTCTCGAGTAATTTAACGTTGATAATGTATGAAAAAGTTTACATTATTAAAGTAAAAGCTATGAAAATCACAATTATTATGTTTGATAATAAAATAATCCAAATAGGTAGTTTACAGTGAGGAAGAAAAAGTATAAATATTTATAAGATATTCGACATTTAATTAATCAGGAAAGAATAAAGATCATTCCGAAAATTGAATAAAATATATATCTACGCTATTCCTATTAAAAAATATTCATGTTAAATCCTGTGAAATATGCACACCACTGATATGGTCTTTTGATGACAGTTTTACAAAATTCGGTCAATGTAAACATTATACAATAATAATTATGGCATAAAGGGAGGGTAATTTATAATGAATAACCCTGTTAGGTACCTAATAATTTTCAGTAAAAAAATTTTAATTCGCACTTTTTTACGTAGATTAAAGAAAAATGTAATTTCGTGTTTTCTTGGTGCAGACATTTTGCGACACACTGTATATTCAAATCCAAAATGATGTATTTTCTTTTAACACATAGGTACCTAATACAAATTTATTAGCAAAATTTAAGTACTTGTTATTTTCGGTATATTTCTCCTTTAGACACACATATTTTTAGTTTCATTGTCAAAAGATTTAAATAAAATTACCGGACCTTATAATATTCTATTATAATTTGATGATCCCGAGTGGCCATAGCAAAAAGACGAAATTTGAGCATGAAGATTTATATGTCATTAACGTAAAATTAATGTTTTGAAATTAATTTAAGTTTTACCAATTTAGAAAATAAAATTAATTAATTAAAAAAAAAAGTGTCTACTCGTGGGTTTGAACTCAGAACCCTTCGATTCATAGACGAGTACTCTAAATGTTCGTTATGAAGACTTATGAGAAAGTTTTACTTTTTAACGCTGATAATCAGATTGCTTTTAGTTTCATTAAAATCTCAGTTTATTTCTAAATATAGACGAATATCTTGTGGAATGCTATTATTTATTGATTCTTTACAAGAATCACTAATTTTTAATTATATTTAATCTCAATAACTAAAAAAAAATATATTGAGAATTAATTTGACGGAATTGTCACTTATAAAGTTCTAACATCTGACCAGTAAATAAAATCGTTAGTTCAATGATTGTACCAATATATGTCGGGCGCGATTGCCTCCAATAACTTTTACATGGCGATTATCCTACTATAGTTCTTTATACGATGACGGCGCCTATTGTTATTGTTAGATTATATAAATAAGTAATAATAATATTTTGTTTGCGATTTTAGTTTTCCCTTTTTTATAAATTATTACTTTGAATTATTTAGTTTGTACGTCAACAAAAATAATAATTACTCGACGTTGTTTCTTTTTTAAAATAATACTAGTTACTAATTGGTTGATCATAAGGGCTAAAGTCAATAAAATTGAGATAAATACATTTTAATTTGTAATAAATAATATTGGGCTTTAAAACTTCTTTAATATTAGCGCTTATATATCGAAATCAAGGAATATAAAAGTAATAATCAGATTTACACAGAAGTCCGATGTTTTAAAATGCATTTTTTAGAAAACAGAAATGTTTGACTTAAGTCTCATTTACCTAAAAAATGTTTTTATTCCTTGCTTCGCACATAGAACTTGCTGGTGTATTATACAATGAAATTATATCGAGAACAGTCTATCTTCAATAGTTTGCAACTTATTGGTAAATCATTTATACGTGTTATAATTAATTCTTTTGTTTTTAAATTGAAAACCAAAGTAACCCTATTTTCTAAAAATGCTTGTTTTAAACACTGTCCAAATATTTTTCGGACTTAAAAAAGAGTAACACTAGTAATTTTATTCAATAGCTACAATTTACAATACTAATCTTAATAAAAGCTTCCTGTAATATACACTGGTGAAGCTTTATCGCCCTGTTTTTGGTATTGCAATGGGTATTTTGAGACCACCTCTAGAAGCATATTCCGTGGAATGAGATACTTGACTAATTTTTGTGAATTTTCTGAATACTCTATTAAATGTTGATTTGATTCTTCATTCACAGGAATTATTATTGGGGTTTCAATTCCATCTCCATAATATTGGGTTACTATTATTTCCTTTTCTGGATTAATATTTTGTGAGGTATGCTGTTGTGAGTCACTTTGCTCTGGATATTTCTTAGTTCCATCCAGAAAATATAAAAGTATGGGATAAATATATTTCTTTGCCAAACTAGTAAACCAGTTTCTTAAAATGTAACTGGAAGAAGGTACTGTTAATATAACTAAAATAAAAATCAGGACCTAAAACAAATATTGATTCATGGTTTTCATTAAAATGCCTCATCTAGCAGACATTAATTTGATTTCTTCATAATAGTTAAAATTGAATGCATTATAACAAATTTACATCTTTATTTATTTCCAAAGGGGTTTTATGCCTAATTTTATTTAAATGTAGCAAACTTAACAAAACAATATATACTGAGGCCCTTCCTATGGGGCCTCAGTATTGCATTCGTGAAGACGAAAACATTTTCTGACCCGCATTTTTTAAAACTTTTTTTCATGTTTCCGAAAATTCAAAAAAAAAAATTTTCGTCTGGTCGTCTGTATGTATGTATGCCGGCACGATAACTCTAGAACGAAAGTTCTGATTGACTTGTGGTTTTGATTTTCTTGAATAATTACTTCTACCTTAGAACCCTATTGATTTTCAGAATTTTCGGTTCATCCTAACTACTTTAATAACAATTTTCTTAAAATCCGCCCATGCATTCCTTATGTAACAATTTTAGGAATTTCAATTATTTGTAACGTCAAAATTCCTAACATTCTTTACATTCCATAAATTGCAAACATTCTCTAACGATCTGTCAAACAACAGCTGTTGATAGTAAAGGTGGAATTTCTAAGGCGGGTTGCGACCTACATACTTGCA